AATTGCTGGTCTTAGTGTCTGTGCTATCGGTATTCTGTCCAGAAAATCCCTTGGACATAAATGTTTTAGACAGTGGGATACCAGCCTCTGGGGAGGAGTCTTTGCAAAGAGAGATATCAATGGAAGCAATGAGTCATGGCAGAAAAGGCCAGAGGCAACCAGAGCTGGGCCAGGTGATGGGGACAGAAGCAGAGAGAAGTCAAAGGGCGGATAGACTAGTGTTCATAGCACTTGGGATTCTGTTCTAGATGTGACAAGAGCCACAGAGGGATGGAAATCTGGGAAGTGCCTGAGTTGATAACACCCACCACACAGGACATGAACACAGATGGCTCATGGAGAGGGTGCCCGGCCAGCAGACTTAGGAACAAGGTTAGGGCAGGGTCTGAATCCAGTGCTCCCCTGCTGAGTGTTACTGAATAAATGTCTCCACGACCCTGAACCTCAGTATTCTTGTCTGTACAGTGGGGCCATAGAGTCTTTGAAGGACTTGAAAGATTGACCAAGACTGCCACACAGTGATGGGTCCATGAAGGCCCTTCCTTCCCTTCCTGTCCTGTGCAGTCCTGGGATACTGTTCCCTTACAAAAGCACACAATCTCTATTGCCATGGTGTGTAGGTTTAAAGATTGCTGGAGAGACTCCTTTAGAGCAAGCAACTGACAAGAAAACTGCCCCTGGACCTGAAGATCTCTGCTGCCCCCTCCCCCAGACTTTTCCACATGTCGGCACCAGCACCCTGAGACACCAAATGATGACTTTGATCTTTACTGAGTGTCTCAGGGGTACTGCTGCCAACTAGGCAGGAAGCAGGCTGATGACCCGCAGTCAGAGAAGACTGGGAAGCCATGTGTGGAGCCGTCACTTTCCCAAGGCTGTCTCCCTGGAGACCCAAGATGTTTGTACAGGAGTTGCTCCAGGAAGTGATGTGTAGGCCCTATTGTCATTGAAATAGAAATCTCCAGTCCTCCTTAAAACCCACAGCAGGGGATCAGAATGGCCAGCAGGAAACCGTTCAAATGGCCACCTGAGGGCCCATTGCTCTTCAGCCAAGCACAGAGCAAGGACAAGGACCTCTCAGGTTTAGCTGCTGCTTGCAGGGAAGTGTGGTGTTTTGAAAGAAAATAGGTGGGGGGCCGGAGAGATGGTTCAGTGGTCAAGAGCACTGACTGCTCTTCCAGAGGACCTGGGTTCAATTCCCAGCACTCACACGACAGCTAGAAACTGTCTGAACTCCAAGTCTGTCATCCTCACACAGACACAAATGCAGGCAAAACACCAATGCAAATAGAAAACAGGCTGGAACCATTCCTCTGGGAGGTTCCAGGGCATGCTTCGACTGATCTGATAAATTTATGTGTTCCCCTTTCTAAGTCAGAGGACCAGCCGAACTCTGCTTCTTCTGAGGTACAGTTGAATGCCACCACCAACAGTAGACACCCCGACTTTATAAACACGTGCACAGTCAGCCTTACTTTTAAAAAGACGAGGGTGAACTGGCTTAAGATGCAGTAGGACCCAAGGGCTCACCGTGTCTGTTTGTACATCCCTGCCTTCCTCTCTGACCTGGGGGCTTTCCCATGTGGCTGGTGTCACGGTCCACTGGCCGACTGTCTGGCCTCACATCTGGCCGGTTGGGTCATGCACCAGAGGAGAGAGGAACTTTGTGAAAAATCTATGAGAAATGTCCTAGGGAGTGACTGGGCACAGTGGGCCACATTTTAATGTCATAGCCATGAGTCACAGGTTGCTTTGTTAATTATATTTTTAAATAGAATTTTTTATGCTGGAACTATTTTAGACTTATAGAAAAATGGCTAAGCTGGAACACACAGTTCCCAGATGTCCCAGAGCAATTCTCTTGACTGCTAACATCTCAGAATAGTAGGGTACATTTGTTAAACTAATGAGGCAACATCGATACATTAGCGCTAACGAGAGCCTATGTTTTATTCAGGCTCCTTGGGTTTGCCTTGTCCTTTTGTGTCCCTAGATCCAGTGTGGCACTTTTCATGTCTCCTCTCAGCTGTGGCAGCTTTTCAGCCTCTCCCTGTGTTTGATGACCTTGACATCTCCAAGGAGGCCCAGTCATCCCTTTTGTAAACTGTCCCTAATTAGGATCGGTCTGATGCCTGGTTCCTGAACAGCCTGGGGTTACAGGGCTAGGGACAAGGTAAGCACAGGTTCCCCCACACTATTATCAAAGGTGAGGCTGAACATCGGGATCATTTCTGTGGGCTCTGACCTTGATCAGCTGGCTGGGGGAATGTTCGTCAAGTTTCTCTCTGCAAACTTTTTTTAGTTCTTCCTGGAGAGAAACAACTTTGGGCAGACTAAGCCCCACTCCTGAGCACAGTGTGCCCACATAAACCTCTGATTCTTCTGCATGGGGAACTGGCTTCTTGCCCTTAGTGTCTCTTCAGCTTCTGATTATATCATCCTGGCTTTGTGGGAGTTTGTCTTAAAATCGGATTCTACTTCTCTTACTTTACTGCTGATCTGTTTCACTCTTGGCTGCCTGGTGACTCTTCAGGTGGCTCCAAGCCTCTTTGATGGGTCTACAACAATGCGCTACACCTTCCTTTTCCTTTCTTCGAACAAGCATCTACTCATCCCAAACAGGAAACTGATGATGGACCAGAGCAAGGATACAACCGAAGTCTAGCCTGGTGAACCAATTAGTGTTTGGGGGTGACTTACAGGAGCATGGGTAACTCAAATGTATTCACATCACCGAAGTCCATTCTACCACAGGTGGTGACTCCATCCATCCAGGGAGTTACCTGCACAACTTGCAGGCAGCTCTATGTTCAGAGTCTCCTCCCCTCAGCAGTTCTTACTGCTCAGATAACGTTGGAGAAGGAGAGAACTTGTGAACCTGGTGAGTTTTGGGGACTTCCTGATACTTGGGAGTTGTCTACTTTCTGAATATTAGCAAGCTTCTCCTAGGGATAGAAAAATTCAATTCAGAGGATATTACTACATGGAAGGTGTGTGTGTGTGTGTGTGTGTGTGTGTGTGTGTGTGCGCGCGCGCGCGCATGCATATAGAAGTCAGAGGTCAATGTCAGGGTTGTTCTTGCATGCCTATCTGCAGAGCTAGCCTACAGTGTTGGCTGGAGGCAGTGCTGGCGACCATCAAGGATTGTAGGTCAGTGTCACCTGCCTCAGAGTGCCAAGCCTCTGGGTACACCATCCATGGGGGGGGAGAGGGGAGTAACCTGTACATTCTCTGTGGTTGGGTGCACTTCTGGATGTGACAGGAACACTGCACCATGGGATGTTTTCATGCTCCTTCCCTATCTGAGAAATGTCATTTCTCATCAGAATTTCCAGGGAGAGCAGAGCTCAGAGCTGTTCTGGGAAGGAGGCATTGCCCCAGAGGCATCACTAAAATTCCATCTATGAGCCTGCTCGGCACTGGTGAGAACTGGGCAGAACGTCTTTTGGGGAAGGCTGATTGGTAGATGACCACTGTCTTCCTTGCTTTCTCACTGCTATGACAGAGCACAGGCTATGAAGCCACTTGAGTGAGAAAGGGTATTTTGGTTCATGGCTCAGAGGTACAGTCCATCACGGTGGCAACACAGCCTTGCCTGTGCTGGGGGCGGGTTGCTTGCTCTAGGTGCATCAGGAAGCAGAGAGAGATGAGTACTAGAGTTCAATTGGCTGTCTGCATTTGCTCGTTTTATTTAGTCTGGGACCTCTGCCTATGGGATGGTGCTGCTCATATGCAGGTGGGTCTTAAATGTTTGGTCAGTTAATCCTCTCTGCAAATGCCCTAAAGTGTGGCTGACACCTTGGCATTCCTCAGTTCCATCAAGCTAACAGTCAAAAATTAACTACCAGAGCCACCTGAAAAAGACACACACTATGCACTCGGGAGGCAGAGGCAGGTGGATTTTGAAGAGCAGGCGTGAGTTTGAGGTCAGCCTGGTCTACAGAGTGAGTTCCAGGACAACCAGGGCTACAAAGAGAAACCCTGTTTCAAAACAACCACCAACACAAAACAAACTCACAACAGTACAGTTGTACAAACGAACTCACAGTGATTGTGACAGTATGCACAATAGTTGTGCAGTCTCAAATCAGACAAAATCCCAGCAAGGAGGGTAGGAGGTGGGCACAGAGAGAAGACCCGTCCCTAGCTGAGGAGTTTCTAGCAACTGACAGCTGCTAGGAAAGTCAGTTTTCTTAAAGGTGTGGCCCTGGTGGGATGTAAAGGTGTGGCCCTGGTGGGATGTAAAGGTGTGGCCCTGGTGGGATGTAAAGGTGTGGCCCTGGTGGGATGTAAAGGTGTGGCCCTGGTGGGATGTAAAGGTGTGGCCCCTGGTGGGATGCTCCACTCCAGGGCTCACCTTAAGCCCTGCTGCAGAGGTGGGCAGAGTAATGGTCATTTAATGACACCGCACTTCTCCTGAGACTCCCTGTCCCAAGCACAGCCGTGTGTGTGTGTGTGTGTGTGTGTGTGTGTGTGTGTGTGTGTGTGTGTGTGTGTGTACCTGCCCCCTCCAGGACAGCAGCTCATAGGCCACAGCGCTCTCTCTCTCACTCTCTCTCTCTCTGGTGTGTTAAGTATGTCTCCTTTTCCTTTTTTTTTCAGAGTGCTTTCCTAACATTTTGGGCTTTTATTCCTCCAACATCTGGGGCTTCTTTGGTCTTTCACTGAGGCTTCCCATGAGTTTTTAAAATGATTTATCTTTATATATGTGTGTACTTTACTGAATTTATGTGTACAACATGTGTAAGACCTTTTGGAAGCCAAAAGGGGGTGTTGGGTCCCCTGGAACTATGTCACAGAGGGTTGTCAGCTGCCATGTGGGGGCTGGGAAGTGAACCCGGGCTCTCTGCAAGAGCAGTAAGTGCTTTTAACCACTGAGCCATCTGTCTGGACCCTTTGACTGACAGGGATAGCCTCACACTGAGGGGGACCCTGCAGGTATCCAGGGAAGAGAAATGCACCTTCAAAGAGATGAGGATGAAAACCCAGCTCAGACTGACTTCGTCAACCTGGACCTAGTGCCAGATAGTTCACTGTTAGCATATTCAAGACAAGTACAACTTGGGAAAAGGTTTCCAAGTGACAATCATTACAATTCCATGTGTGCAAAAGCTTAAGGTGTGACTACATAGAAACTCCTTTACAAAGTACACATGACCATAAGGGTGGGTTCCATAGCTAAAAGGCCTAGAATCTAGTGTGGCCTCTGACAGAGACAGCACAGAGGTCAGCAGTGATATCTCCCTAAGGATGGGTAACTGTCCAGGGAGGGAAGAGACCGGGATGACTATTCTTGGTGATTTGGGTAAGGTCTGCCTCTATAGCAAAAGGTGGGTGAGGTTTACCTCTACAGACAGCAAAAAGGTCATTAACATTAACAAAATCCACTTCCAATTTTCTGGGTGGGAAAACAGGTATTTTACCTCCTCATTGAGAAGAAAGTCCTGTGTGTTTAACATTCCTGGTTTCCCTAGTGATCTGTGGGCGCAAGGACCTTTGTGTCCCCAACATCACACCTGTCTAGGGAAGCTCTGTGCATTGATCGTGCTTTTCTTCAGAGGCATGAGTTGGTGCAGTTATGTGCATGGGAAATCTTCATACAAATTGCGCTCCCGTCAAATGCAGCGGCCCGTTCTGTTTTTCAGGCCGGCTGGAGCTCTGGCCTCATGCTCGCTTCCCAGCTTTAATGAGAAAAGACAATGACACAAGACTTGGCATCCGAAAGGAAGCACGCAGCTCCTTGGGAAGCAGGCCAGGCCTGTTTAGAGAAGCTCCTTAACCTTAGAGCTGAGGTGTTCGAGCAGGGTGATTAACATGTTACACAGCGGTGCCTGGCAAAGCGGCTGGTGTCACAGAGCAGGGAAACAGCTTTGCTCCAGGCGGATTGAGGACCTGTCACCTTGGAGTACCAAACTGGGAATTTGAGTGCATTTAAACGTCTACACAACTGACTTGAGGTTCTGCAGTTTTATCGCATAGTTGTTAAAGCTACTTAGGAAGCAAAAGCTGTGCAGGGTGCCTGCTCCGAGGCATTTTGCTTCTTAATACCAGGGTGCTCTGCATTCTGTCCTAACTGATGGGCACATGAGAAACAAGGCTAGGGGAGGAAATAAAGGTAAGACTGACGTTTACATCATAGGCTTGTTTGGAATGATGCTGGTGCTGAAGGGAACGGGGAGATACATTTAGAGGACAGGTAGGTGGGTGGATGGACAGATGGGTAGATAGAGTCATGAATATATGAGTGCATGGGTGATTTGTGGATGCTGAATGGATGCATGCATGGATGATTAGATCTATGTGTTTATGAATGGATGGACGGATTCTTGGGTGGATGCCTAGATGCATACATGTATGTGTGGATGACTGAGAAAATACAGATGTTTGGTCTGTGACAGGTAAACATGTGATAGGCAGGCAGGCAGGCACTGAGTTTTTACTATGGGGCAGGCTTCAGGTTTTAGAGGTCCAAGATTCCCGGATGAGGGGTTAGGACCACTACCTCTGAGGAGGCGACATCTGACCTGAGCCAGAGCCAGAAGCCAGCTTCACAAAAGGTGGAGAGTTACTTACTACAGAGAGAAACGCTGAGAGGCAATGGCAGGACATTACCACTGTGTGGAAACTACAGTGTGATGGTCTACAACGGGGCTGCAGGAACACAGTGCATGCTCAGATACCTCCGAGATCACCGTCTTCTCTAGGTACTCTAAGACTGACCCACACAGGCATACCAAACCACGATTTCGCCGAATCTGGGAGAGCTCCATCAGGACCTAGAGATGGGGTGGAGATCAGGTCCTCTGGCTGGTGACCAAGAGTCATTGTTCAAAACGGACTCCAGCTTGTGATTGGAGGCTTTTAGGGCTTGTTAAACACTCAAGCTCTGGCCCCTTTTACCCAGGGGTTCCCAGATCCACTCTGCCTGACCCCACGGTGACCACACCATCCTCTGGGAAGCCTTGATCCCCTGCTTACGCCTTTTTCACAGCCCCTTTCCACACAGCACAGCACAGTTTAGCTTGAGCTTTGTGTCCTGTGTGGGACCTTGGCTGATGGTCTATCAAGATCTCGACCAGGAAACAGGTCCTCCATGTGGACTGGGGTGGGCAGTCATTTATAGGAGCAGGGCAGGGGGTCTCCTTGCTAGAACAATGGAATGCGGGTAAACATGGGTACAGTGGCATCTCAATGACTAAGATCATTACCAGTGTCAGCATGGGAGGAGGAGAGGAGAGGGTGAAGCCCTGGGGAGATGCTGGCGTTGCTATGGCAATGGTTGTGATTGAGGAGAGTTTATACACACAGGGAAAGGAAAAATGAAACCCAATGGTCACACACGTACCTAAGATGCGAGGGGCAGTGTTGGAGGGCTCTTAGCCACAGGAAGGTGTGGCTAAGCCAAAGCTGGGGACTGGAAGGTGATGACAGAACGCTGTTAGGACATGCGGTGAGATCAGGGATATGTCAGTTGTCACAGCTGGGAGGGACACTCCTGGGTGGAGTGCGGCTAATTGTGTTCCAGTGCCCAGGACAGGCGCACACGGAGAGTTGTCCAGCTCAAGTGTCAACGGTACTAAGGTGAGGGCGGTAATGAGGAGGGGAACCCCAGGGCAGAGCATGGAGACCTGGGAGCGTGAGTAAATAGCTCTGATTTCCTCGCTCAAGCTCCCCCTGCGGCTGCGCCAGGGCACCAGGGCTCTGGCCATCAAGCAGTTGAGCGGTGCATTGCTTTTTTGTAGCGCTGTGCCCAAACCTGACAGAACCAACTGAGGAGGGCACGGTGTAGCGGGGGACCGCACATCATGGTGACAAGGGAGAAGAAAGAGAAGGGGCGAGAGAGAACGCCTAGGATGGTTGGCTTTTCCCTTCTGCCCTTGTCCCGTGAGGCATCTTAGTTAGTCTTCCTTGGAAAAGCTCTCACACACCCAGAGCTGTACCTCAGTCTCAGAGGTGACTCTAAATTCAGCCAGGAAGACAGCGAAGAGAAGCCATGCCTCCTGCGGTCCTGTCCTCTGGGAGGGCAGGCCTACTCTGAGGAAGATGGTTCCTCTTGGCCACGGCCTGTTATAAAGGAGACTTCCTGGAAAGAAGCCGTGCCTGCAGAGGCTAAAATTTCACTAAAATTGGGCTGTGGAGAGGTTTGAATGTTGCAGGTCCAAGATCCTAATTGTAATTTACTGTGGGCTATCTTTAGCCCACTTAATAGCCTTTCCTTGACTCTGCTGTGTCAGGCCTACCACGCTGGCGAGTACATAAAAACCTTTCAGAATGTTTTAGTAACCCGAATTTTTCTTTTTTCTGTGTTTTCTCAACCGTTTTTAAATGATTTGGTAAAAGAACACTTAAAATATGTAGGGCTGGGGGCAGGGGTGGAACAGGGAAGGGGTGTGTGTGTGCTGAACCTTTGTGGGTTCTAGTCCCAGTTCCATAAAAACAAAATGGACAAAACTCAAGACACATGCAGAGGGTAAATTACCTGCCTCCTTTTTCTCCTGTCCCATTGGGTCAGCACAGCTACGTCCAGGTGTCAACATGTAGGTTTGTAGGTGCGGGCCATGGGACACCCGGTTAGGGGGCCTTAGGGACGCTGGAAAGGGCTTCTTAAGAACCTCTGCCATGGTGGTCACACACAATTGGAGTTTGGGTTGGAGATGAATTCAGTTTTTGCAAGTCCTGGGGCGCTGGCAGCCTCTCTCCCATGCCCCTTGGTACAGGGACTTCTGGGAAAGACTTCCCACCTTGGCATCTTAGAACAATGTTAGAATGTCTCTGTGGCCCAAAACTTTGGGGGCTGTGAAGACAGGTACAGCTGCCCATCAGATTCCAGCTGCCCATCGGATTCCATATGGGGCTTGGTGGGGCCCACAGCAAGCCAGGAAAGCTGGGGCCGTGAGGGAGGGAGGCAGGGAGACAGAAGTCTTTAAATAAGAGTGTGGGCAGTGCTGTAACCTGAATAGCTTTCACCTTTAAGCTGATTCTCTGCTAAGTTCCTAAAGGTGGTATGAACGTCTCCTTTCTGATTTTATGAATTGGTTCCAGGTGGCAGGATGAAAAGGCCGTGGGCAGTGACATTTTGTAGTTGAGGTAGGTCCCGCCTCTGGGAGTCTGTGGAAGCCCCCTGACCATAGGGAAAGTTCAACTCCCATGTGTACTCAGCTATCCCAGGGGCCACGGCCACGATGCCAGAAGAGAACAGCCGGAGTCAAGGACCATGTGCCGATGTGCAGTAAGGTGAAGTGCAGCCTCCTGTGGGCAAACTAGTGTCTTAGCTTCATTTCTGTTGCTGAGAAAAAAACAACAACCGGACAAAGCGCCTCTTAGAAGAGAAAGGAGTTGTTTCAGCTCACAGTTCGGGTACCGGCTCAGTTCCTTCTTGTGGAGAAGTGAAGGAGGCAGGAACTCGAAGCAGCTGGTCATGTGACGTCCACTCTTCAGAGCAGACTGAAGAGCATGCTCACTCACTTCCTCTGCTCTCACACAGCCCAGGACTCAAACTCAGGGAATGGTGCGTCTTAGCTAGGGCTTCTATTGCTGTGAAGAGACCCCACGACCATGGCAACTCTGGTTTTTTGTTTTGTCTTTCTTTTCGAGGCAGGGTTTCTTTGTATTGCTTTGGAGGCTGTCCTGGAACTCTCTTTGAAGACCAGCCCGGCCTCGAACTCACAGAGATCCGCCTGCCTCTGCCTCCCGAGTGCTGGGATTAAAGGTGTGCGCCACCACCGCCGAGGAAAAGATTTAACTGAGGTGGTAGCTTACAGTTTCAGACGTTTAGTCCATTATCATTATGGTGGAGAGCATGGCGGCTGACAGAATTGTGGCGAGCAGGCAGACTTGGCGTGGGAAAAGTAGCTGAGGGTCCTACATCTTGCAGGCAACTGTCTCACTGTTGGCTTGAGCATATATGAAGCCTCAAAGCCCGCCTCCACAGTGACACACTTCCCCCAACAAGACCACACCTACCCCAACAAGACCACGCCTCCTAATAGTGCCACTCCTGTTGGGGTCCATTCTCTTTCAAACCACCACAAGGTGCTTCCCCGTTTCAGGCTGGTTTCCCCACATAAGTTCAGACAACCTCCCTCCACCCCCAGACATGCCCACAGGCCAATCTGATCTAGACAACTCATTGAGACACACTTCCCAGGTGATTCAAGACTTGTGTGCCACGTTGACAGTTTAAAACTAAGAGATGTTGGGATGAGGTTGTGTCAGCCTTAAATAAGACCTAAATCCAATCGACAGGTGTCCCTAAAGAAAGAAGAAGGCAAAACTAAAAGAGGGAGGGATGTGAAGTTGGGAGACGTTGTTAAGGTTCATTCCTTGGGGGAGATGCAAATGATGTCTACCCCTCCTCCTAAGGTCCCAGCTTCACCCAGGGAACCAGTGAGTTCATTAGGCTTCCTCACAGGGTAGTGGGTTGGGGGCTTACAGCAGGAGCATGGGCGGTCTTCAAGCAGCCACACTGCCAGGTCTGCATCCAGCAGGGATGATGGCTTCCCTAGGGGTGTACAGCGGGAACTCCTCCCTGCCCCTTCCCTTGCACATGCTCCAGCCTGTCTTCCGGGGTCACAAGCAATCAGAGCAGAATTGCATACAGCTGGTTGGGAGGGGTGGCTGGACACCTGGGCGAGGCTCTCCTCCACCTGGTCCCCACTAAATCCAGGTTCTCCCTCCACTCCTCCTGTAAGTGAATTAAACAGTAAACAGGCCCAGCTGTGATGAGCTTTTGTGCACAGTCTCGGGAGTGCTGACAATGGTGGCTGTTTGGTTTAGGGGAATCGTCCCATACATCAGATGTAGAGTTCGGAGCCCTGTGTCTGCAAGCCCAGGGACTGTAAGTAACTCTCAGGAGTCAGGAAAGGGGCATGAAGTCTCCCCTCAGAGCTTCCAAAAAGACCAGCCCTGCCACCACTGGGCTGGATGTCTGGCCTTAGACTGGTGAAAGATTATTCTGTTGTTTAACATCGTGGGTTCATGACACTTTGGTATGGAAGCCACTGGAAACACACGCTGCTTCAAAGGGATTTTTAGAAACCCAACTTACACTGACTGGCTAGTCCTGCCAGTTAGCTTTCTAAACACTGTGCCTAAGCCCCTAACAGGAAGATCTCAAGGGGAAAGAGATTCATTTTGGCTCGCGGTTTCAAAGGACCCAGTCGGTGGTCACTTGGCTCCACGTATGGCCCTATAATGACAATAGGGGAATGTGGTGGGAGAGCGTCTTCAGGGCTGACAGGAAGGAAACACAGGAAGAAGCCAGGGTATGTCATTCCCAGTGACCTACTCTCTCCAGCAGTCACACTCCCCCCCCGCAGTCTACCCCTTTGGCCACCTTTCAAGGTGGCTTTGTATTATGAACACATTAAGAGATTAATCCACATTGGCTCAGAGCCCCTGAGATCTAACTGGAAATGCTTTCAGAGCGAGACCTGGTGTGGTGGTGGTGGTGGTGGTGGTGGTGGTGGTGGTGGTGGTGGTGGTGTGTGTGTGTGTGTGTGTGTGTGTGTGTGTGCCAGTCACACATCTTCAAATGTCAGGAGCTGTGCCCCCATCACTGAGAGCACACTCAGTTCTGAGCGCCGGCCCGAGGATAAGCTTAGTGAAGACGTGGAACGACAACACCACGGCCATTTCTTCCTTTTCTGCCTTCTCACTGGCTGAGCCAGACGCCTGCTATTGCCTTCTAAACAAGCCTGCAGATTGACTTCTTTTCCATCTCAAGGACCCCATTTGGGCACAAAACCTATTCTCTTGCAAATACCAGTGAAAATGCTTGCTGCCGTAGAATCTAAGTACTGTGTGGATGTTGGCACAGCAGGGTTATTCATTTATCCCATTGATGGCCGCAGGAGACTCCTTCAGTGGAGGTAACAGGAGCCTTAACACATCTCTAGGGCCTCAGGGCAGTGGTGGGCCTGGTGTTTAGAAGTTGGCAGTGGCGGCTGCAGCAGCAGCTGGCACAGTGATGACAGCTCTATGCGGCTGTGGCTGCTAACCTGGCTTTGCCTTCACCAGTTTGTTTTGTTTTTGAGCCTGGTTCTCCTGCCATCATGTAGGTACTTGGAGCTCCCTCATTGTAGCAGGCTTGTTTGGACTCCCAGACCCCAAATCACGACACAAAGGCTTATTATTAATTATGGGAGCTTGGCCTTAGCTTAGGCTTTTGTTTCTAAGTAGTTCTTGTAACTTAAATTAACCTGTTTCTATTCATCTATGTGCTGTCTCATGGCTCATGGCTATTACCTCTCCCCCTTCATGCCCTGCTTCCTCTGCATCTAGCTGGAGACTCCGCCTTTTTCCATTCAGAGTCCTCCCTGTCCCTACAAGTCCCGCCTAACCTCTTCCTGCCTAGCTATTGACCATTTAGCTCTTTATTGGACCAATTACAGTGACACATCTTCCATGCAGTGTAAAGGAATATTCTGCAATACCCCATATTGTTTCAATGATCTGCTACTTGGCCCAGCATGCTCAGTAGACGATAGGTTCTAAAGCCAAGGTTTACGCCAATGCTAAACGGTCAGAGCTGAATGATCTGCCTATAGAGTGTTCTTCACTGCAAAGTAATGGGAGATCTAAAGACATAGACAAGGGCCGTGTTAGGGTGTGAGTACAAACACTACCCTCAGGTACTAAATGGCAGGCGTTCACTGCTCACTGTGCTTAATTCTGGAAGTCTAGGTGAAGGCGTTGCCTATTCAGTTCCCATTGAGAATCTCCTGGCCTCAAGTGGGTTCTTTCTGACCATGGCCTCTCAAGTAAGAGACAGAAAGAGGGCTCTGTCCCATTGCTTCTTCAAAAAAATTACTATTATTGGTTGTAGTAGTAGTAACATCAAGACAGGGTTTCATGTAGCTCATATTGCCTTAAACTTGCCTGGTAGCCTGAAGGTGACCTTGAATTTTGAACTTCCAGTCACCATCTCATGAGAGTGCCATACAGTGTTCGGGTCTAGCTCAGGGTTTCATGTATGCTAGGCAACTCTAGCTAAGCCACACCCCTGGCCCTATCCTGTCTCTTCTTACGAAAGCTCCAAGCCCTCACAAGCCACACCCTGGTCCTATCCTGTCTCTTTTTATGAGAGCTTTGTTCTTAGGACCCCATTTAACCTTTGTTACATTCTCTCTCCAAACACAGGCCACTGTAGGGCTATACATTTATTTTGGGGGCACAGTTAGCTTAGGAACTTCTGCCACTAAAACCACGACAGTGTCGTTGCTGTACTTCTCTGTGCCTTACCTCATTGTAAACTTGTAGGGGCCCTGGACCAGGTTTCTGTAGTCTAAGGACTTAAATTATTGTTGTATAAGCTTGGGTCCTTTGACCCAAGCAAGTACCATGTTGGAGAACCCGCTCCTTAGGAAGAGAGCAGAACCCTCTCCGTAGGAAGAGAGCATTTATATATTCATCGTCTCTTCATGGACATACTCTCCTCTTCATGCCCATGCTTATGGATGTAAAGAAGACAATCAGGTAGGTATCAGAAGATATGGATAATGCAAACAGCTCAGTGTGTGTATATTTTATACAAACTTTTACCTTATAACTTTATGCTACAGCTTGAATGCAAACTGTCTCCCGTAGGCTCAAGAGTATGAACGCTTGGTCCCCAGCTTATAGTGATGCTTGGGAAGGCTATAACCTTCAACTGATGGCAAGGTTTTGTGGCTGGGGTGGGGTGAGGCTTCTGTTAAGGTATGGAACCTCCCAGGAACAGGTCCCCAGACATCTCATCTAAGGAGTAACACGTTTGTTTTTCTCGGTCTCCCAGTGGCCCCAATACTGATTTCCACAGAGAGAGCCATAAGGTTGAGGGGCACTAATTGAGTCGATCCCATTTCCATAGCACCTCAAAGAAGATGCCTTCCCACTGGCCCCTTCTCCATATCAGTCACTTACCCAGCCATCCCCAAATTAGCCTGCGCACAGCCATAAGCTGTGACTGACAGCCTATCCCAAAATGGAAATGCAGATGACAGAAGTTGTCTGTAAAATAGCCCAAGGATTATTTTTTTAAGTCCTCACATGAGAAGCCCAGTCTGGGCAGGAAAAGAAGCCAAGTGGCCTTGACCCAGGCAAGCTGCTGAGGGATGGCTTAGCAGGCCTGCTGGGTGAGACTGCTCGCAGCAGTATAGACACCACTGCCCCCACCCTGGACTGTGAGGTCCTGGAACCCTACGATGGCGCCATGCACCCCAGTGATCGCCCCGGCACCCAGCAGGATGCAAGATGCAATAAGAATCCTACTGGTAGGCTTTTCAGGAAAGATGAGGAGAGCCAGTCATGGCTGGGTGGTGCAGATAGAGTCTGAGGCTAATGAGAGGCGTGTTTCATTACCTACTGAGAGGCTCCTCCTGCCCCTCCTGGAGATGGGGGTGAGAGGGGACAGGATGGTAGCAGACTGGCCTCTTCTCAGATCAATCACTGGCAGTTAGGAAGAAAGGCATGTCCCCAGGTTCAACGGGAAGAGGCGTGTCATGTGACAACTGTCTTCAAAGTAAGATCTTCATGCGAAGCCTTTCTGAGGGAAGAAGGCAAACACATCAAGGCCCTTTGGATTCCCTCATCCATCAGCAGTATGTTTG